GAAATGTAGTAATGACTTACAATATTATAAACAGTTTTTAGCATTTATGATATATTATATTGAACAAATACCAAATAATACTGATATAATTATTGATTATTACCTTGAATATACTGGATTACCTGGAGAAGATGATATTAATGCAAAAGAAAAATTAATAAATATATTAAATGATTCTCCTTATTATCAAAAGAAACTAAAACAAATGGAAAATATTAATTGGAGAATTAGAGCACGATTAATTTATTTAAATAGTAAATATAAAGGATTATTAGAATATTTAAAAGTATTTATTGAAGAATATAAAAAGAATAAAAATTATTTTGAATTATTTGAAAATGATTTAACACTATTCTTTGATAAAGACTATTGTGAAGATGAAGTTCGTAGTATTAGAAAATCATTTAAACCATTTTGTGAAGAAAAAAAATGTGTTTTAACAGAAACCATTTATTATTGTATTTCTATGGCACCAGATGGAGTTACTTCTCCATTATTAGGTGTTTTAATGAAAGAATTAGATTTAATGCAAGCACCAATTAAATATAATGTACTTATTTTTAATTTATTTTATAAGCAAATTCCACCATATATTTCTACTGAACATGACCAATGGCTTGGAATTAAATCTCCTAAAATTTCATCAAGAATTCATTTTAATATCTACACTTATTTGATTGATTCTCTACCTTCAAATATTCTTATCCCTTTATTACAGAAAAGTGTTCCATGTGCAGCAACAGAATATTTTAGTCTTCGTTTTAAAGAGATGGGATTAAGAACATATCAACCAATTCTTTCTACTAGATTTGAAACTCAAACAATAAATACCAAATGTGGTGTTTGTGAAAGAGCAATTAAAAGTGGTGATAAATTCATTGTTAAAAATGGTGTATTTTATCACATTCAATGTAAGTAAATTCACTTTTAAAAAATAAAACTATTAGGAAATTGTTATTTTATAATTCTTTTTATAATTTTTGTTTTAAAAAATTATAAAAATCTTAAATATTAAATAAATGGAAGTTGTAGAACACATTGAATATTTAGAACATGAACGTCCTCATTTTACTTTAAATGAATTTGCTGTCATTGCTGAATATATTCATGACTTATCTACAATTACTCAATTTGTTTTTATTTCTAAAAATTGTAAAGAAACATTTGATACTTTATCAACAACCTTACTACCTTTTATATCTCCATTTACTATGACACCAATTGAATTAACTGTTACTAGAACTCTTTCTTTATTAAAAGTATTAAAATATTTTCCTCAAGCAAATTGTATTCAATGTGATACTGACACTGTTCGTATTTTGCCAGAGAATGTTTTTACTCATTACCCTTTTATTGAGATTAAAGAAAATGAAGAACCTTTAAATATAAAAGAACATTTCGCTTTAATCAAATCAATCGCTTCAAAACTTGTTTCTTTATCAATTAAAATTGATGAAGAAGCGTTTGACTTTCCTCCAGAGATTCATTTTTCTGAAATGATTTCATTAAAATATCTTTCTATTACATTCACTCAAAATGAAACATTTGATTATGCTCCTAAATCTAAAGTTCATTTTCAACGATTTTCAAGACTACAAGAATTAAAATTACTTCCTCGTCTTCAATTACTATCAGTAAATTGTGAACAATCAACAGCAATTTTACTTGCACCAATCTTTAGAGAACTTCAATGCATAGTCAATGTAATTTTATTATATTCAGAAGATAATGTAGATATTGTAAAAGAAGTAATGTCAAGTAATGTTATTGTTTGTTGTGAGTATGACTCAACAATGACTGAATATACACGTCTTCAAACAACCATCTTACAACATGAAGGATTATCTGTTAAAGTAGAAACTGTTGGTTCAATGAATTTATTTGAAGAACTTATGGAAAATACATTAGCCTCAAATATTGTAATATATGAAAGAGTTCCAAAGTGGATGACTGGTATTGATTTAACAACATATACCCATATTCAAAATTTACAAATAGAAGGTAAAGCACAAAATATTAAGATAAATATACCAACTTCAGTTACTTCTTTAAAAATGAATACTATAGGTTATTCTATTTCCAATATTGATGATATTCCTTTAAAAGAACTTAAACTAGAAAATTGTGATTTAAATCCAATCTTATTCTCTAATAAAAATCTTAAAAACATAGAAATAAAGTCATGTGCTATTCATACAACATTCGTTTGTCCTAGTTCTGTTTCTCATTTTTCTTTAAGTGACTCAGAACTTCAAGTTCAATTAAATGATGGTTTGGAAATTGTTGAACTAGGAACTTCAAATCGTACTTCTACATTACAACTTCCTAAGTCAGTTCAAATTTTATCAACAGAAATAAGTGTTTCAATGCTTTCTTTACCAAATCTTCAAAGACTAGACATATCAAAATTACCAATTAACATTGATTTGTTTCCAACAACTTTAACCTCATTAAGAATTTTAATGGGAAGTTCTAAGAAACAAATGGATATGACTAAGTTTAGAAAACTTGAGAAGTTAAGTATTATTGTTTGTGAGAAAGTTCGTAGGATTGTTCTCCCTCATCAATTACGCTTTCTTATGGTATATGGATGTAAAGATATAGTAGCCCTTGACAATCTTAAAAATGGTAATTTAGAAGAGCTTTGTGTTACTGAGTGTAATAACTTACAAATGAAAATCCCTCAATCAATCAAGAGGTGTTTTGTTGATATACCTTCTGTTACAAGTGTGAAGTTTTAATTCATTTTCTCTTTTTTAATTATATAATTTACTATATTATTTATTTATTATTTCAATAAAATTGAAGAATGATTCTATAAAAAAAAAATTAGTTGTTATGTAACAAAAAGTAGATTTGATTTTTGTTTGAATATAATTCTTTAGAAGTAAAAAATTCACTAAGAATTACAGAATGTCACTTTATAAAGGGATTGATAGTCAAGTTAAAATAAAAAATCAGAAAAAACAAGAATTTATCCAAGAAATACCTTCTAAAAGAAAATTTATATTTGAGATGAATGATTTTAATGATGAGATTGAATCATGTCCATCTATTCCATCTAATATAGATTTTGGGTTTAGACCAAAATTTGGTAAAATCCATTTAGTAAATGGGAAAATAGTTGAAGAATTTCCACAACAAGAACAATCAAGAAAGTTCTCAATAAATTCACCAAAATATTCTTTTGACTTTTTAAGCCAAGAAAATAAGTCTTCTTACTCATTACCTCCAGATTTTGAAAATGATGACTTAAATGATGGACCTGGTACAACAGTATTAATTCAACCTGGAGATATTGACACAACTCCAGTAAAATCAACAGACTTTCCTCATATTTCAAATGACATTGTAGCTAAAGAAAAAGTAACTACTATCAATGAACAAAACTATGAAGGTATAAGCCTACAAAAACAACAAAGTGTCGTTCAAAACCAAACACCAAATTTCAAGAAGATTGTTAATATTTCATCATTAGAAAAAAAACAGAATAGTATTAACTTAAACCAAAATATTTTTGAACAAACAAATGTAACTACTGAAATTAAACCTCTCTCTTCATCTAAGTTGAAAGATCTTTCTTCAATAAGTGAAGATGATTTACCAATAATTGAGAAAAAACAATTCCATTTTATTATGCCTCAACAACACTCTCCGAAGACAACAGCTCTAGGCTTTGGTTATCAAAGTTTTGAAGAAAATTAAATGTCTTTAACTCTCTCCAATTTGTCATTTAAAAATGAACTTCTTTTCATAATATTATTTATATTGATTTAAATAACAAATAATATTTAGAAGTAGTAAAATATTTTATTATTTTTAATTTTATTGAACAAATAAAGTAATAAAAAATAAAGTATTAAGACTAAATAAATAGATTTTGTGGAACATTTCCAATAATTTTTAAATGAGAAGAACATCCTTTAAAACATGACTGACCAAAATAACAAATAGTAGAAGGAATTGATAGTTGAGTTAAGTTTGTACATTCTGAAAAACAATAAGTACCAATTCCTGTAAATGAGTTTGGAATTTCAAAAGAAGTTAGTGAAGTTTGAGTAATAAAATTATGTTTATTTAGGCGTTTAACTGAATTAGGAAGTAAAAGTCCATTTAATACAATATCTCCAAATAACACTTTTTGGTTTAATGTTATTAAGACGTTAGGAATTTCCAGTTCTTTTAAGTTATAACAATCCCAAAATATATATGACCCAAGTCGATCTATAGATGATGAAATAGTTACTCCTGTAAGATTATAACAATTAGAAAAACAATCAGAACCTAAAAAAGAAACTGATGAAGGTAATGAAATAGATTCTAATTCATAACAATTACTAAAACATTGTCTTCCAATTGATACAACAGAAGATGGTATAGAGATATGAGTTAAATTTAAACAATCTGAAAAACTACTTGCTTTTAATGAAGTTATATTTGTTGGTATAATCAAACAATTTTTTTTTAAATCAAATTCAGAAAAACAATATTCTTTTATTTCACATACTTTTGTTGGTATATTCTTACCAAAAGTATCTAAATCTCTTGATGAATAATAAACATGACAATAATGAACTTTATCTTTTACTTTTTTGTTATACTCTTCATATGATACTTCATAAAAGATTTTTATTGTTTTAATTCTTCTGTCATCAAATAATTCATCTTTTCTATTGTATAAACAGAGGGTTTGAAGTTTAGGAAAATACTTTTTTGTTTTTATTGTTAATGAAACTGGGTTATAATGAAACTTTGACATTAAATTTGAATATTTTTTGTTTACCATTTGGATATTTTTAAATTCATCAATTGTAGCAAAGTATTTTGAAATAATCATCATTGAATATGGGTCAACTTGTGAGTGTGACATAAGATATTTCTTTGATGGAATAAATAAGTTAGATGTAAAGTTTTTCTTTTTTTTTATTGTCATTTTGTTATATAAACAGTTTATTAAATTAATTAAATTATAACTACGTTAAAGTAAGTTTTATTCAAATTCATTCATTTATTAAAATATTAACAGATTCTGCAATAATTTTCATTTTAATATCATTAGAATTTTGAAAAGCATAAATAAGTAATTTAACAATTTGAGTATCAATTGGAGTTCTATAATTTGTTCTAGCAATAGAAGTCATCCAGTCTAAAGTATTTTTGATAGATTGTTCCATTTTTTGAATGATTGAATTAGAAGAATAAAAGTCAGGAAGGTCATTATAATAATCAATAAGAGGAGCATCTTTAACTCTAAGAACTCTTTCACCATCTTCATTCACTTTTAAAGAGCTAAAAAGAAATGATGTATTATTTGGAACAATTTCATAAACAAATTGAATTGGAGGGAGTAATGAAGGTAATTGAATAGGAATTGATTCTTGACAATAAAATTGTTGACCTGGTAGTGATAATATAAGATTTGCATCACATTTTTCATATTGTTTTGTAGTATAATTATAAGAATAATACATTCTTTTCTTTAAAGTGGCAACTGATAAATATTGAAGATATTTTGGATAAATTATATTATTATTAAAGAATGGTTCAAACAAGGGATAAAAAGAAGCAATTAATAATGGAATATTTTCATTTGATGGTTCAATTGAATATTCACCAAATCCTGCATTAATAAGACC